TGAACACCTGACGCTAGCCCAGCAGGTGGGTATTTTTTCATTCAAGGCAGCATGGTTCCAAAGGGTGACTGCCACACGTTGGCTGCAGTTTAATTCACTCTCGGCACTCATCTCAGTAAGTGCTGCTGTCGCAAAAGACCTCAACTGTCCTTGTGTGCACACAAGTGCTAATGGCTTCGTGGACAGGCGAGCATGTTTCCCAATCTAATTAAAAGAAAGCTTTTTTTGCCAACTGTTTAGACCTCATAATTCCAGCACATATAATCAGATTTCAAGACCCTCTATAGATTAAGCTGTCTGGAGACTGAATCAGGGCAATCTAAATTTATATCTTAAAATTAGTCTTACTCATTCCCATCTGCCACGGCAGAAAACAGTCTATTTTGTGAGGTGAAGTTCTTCCACCTCACTAGAGCAGGTGCTGGGGGGGCCGCACCATGTGGCTTTAGCATTAGGATTTTTTACACTAGAGAAAGAAGATAACTACTTGCAGTTTAGGATAGTAGTAGAAAGTATTCCCTTCAACAGACAACAAAGCTGTCTATATTCAAGATGGCATGTTAAGAAGCAAAGGTGATTATTACTCAAACTTATTTATTTTCTAGGAAGACAAATAAAAGGAACTACCAGTACCATAAGCCATGTCCAACTCATGCTCTTACGGAAGATGTTCACCATCTTTCTTGTGTGAACTCCAGCCATTCAGCAATATTATCCAACCTTCTTCTGCTACAATAAAGTCTAAACGTGTTTTAAGTCTTTCAAGTAGGATCAATGATTCTATTTGTTATTTAAGCACTTCTTCCCAGAAGGAAGCTGAATACTTAGATCAGGCAAACAGTAAAATCCTCATTCCCTGGGACTACCCAATGAAATCCAAATAAAGATCAGGATCGTGGGAAGTCATCTGCAGATAGATTCGTCGGGAGACTTCTGGTCCGATCCGCCGGGAGGTGGCTGTCACACCGTCGCCACGGTGCACAGGGATATCAGCCAGCAAGTTTTGCCGCTCCTGCTCCAAGGAGCATCTGCTGTAGGCCTAGAAGCAACACAAAGGAACAACGGTACCATCCATTTGCATCCATTGCTCAAGAAGATAATCAAAGCTATACACCTGTGACTGCTCTACCCTTTCACAACATACACTTATTTTTCACCTGGTCTCTCCCCAGATCTCATCTGTGAGCTTACAGGCTGATGCAGAACCAATACTGCTGCCTCAGTAGTCTGCTCTGTAAACCCAAAGCAATGGGTGCGAAGGAATCGGTTCCTTCAGTACCTTAGCAAACAGCTCATACAGAATTGTTGTGTCAAATGTAATACCAACTAAGTGATTCCTTCCACTCCTTACATTTGTTGGCTGTCTGCATACAGTGCTTAGTATTCCTAAGGCATCCTTACCTGGTTCAGAAGCTGTGGAGAAGGGTATGCAGACACAATAGCCTCAGCCATCTCGCGGCTGACCCGATTAAATTGTTGTATCTGCCTTGTCCAAACTTCCAAGAGGCCCTTTCCAGAATGATCCACCTTCACCCCTCTGCACCATCCCTCGTCTAAATAGAAAGGAAGCCCCGTCTTCTCTCGCTCTCGCCTAGGGAGAACAAATAATGGGAAAGCAAATGAGACAATGAGGCTATGAAGAAAAGCCTATCCCTGCATCTGTTGTCACGTAGCCAGAGACAAGAGAGCCATTTCTCACTCTGTGCTTTTACAGACACCACCAGCATCACAGTAAACGCTAAAATTTTGACCCTGTCTTCTTTACATGCATTACCAATTTCCTTGTTTAAGACCAGGATTTCCTACTGAAAAAGAAACAATCCTGTACTTGGGAGCAATCCGGGCACAAGCCAACACACATACAAAGTGGTAAACAAGAATTCACTTTCGCACTGTCAACCATAATAAAACACTGATTTACATGACATTTTTAACAACGTCTCATCTCTTTTCATGGCTGAGATATAAAATACAGCAGCTGCTGTGATAGGAATGCTAGGATTGTGTGAGGCTGCACAATATGGCTTTTTTGCTATCGCTGTGCAACGTGCTGCTATCCTTCCTTATCAATGGAAACAGCTAAATGGTTCAGTCTCAGTGACATCTCTCTTGGTTACATACTGTACTAGCTTTTCTTCTTCACTAAGTGCCCAACCCTACTTGCATTCCCTTCCCACTCCTAAAATCAAACTGAGAACAAGAGCTTTACTTAATGTCAAGACTCGGATGTGAAACCAGGGTCTGTCCTCACCCCTCCCAGGCAGGACATCACTTTTCAAGAACTAACCCTGTACTGAAGGAGCTGCATTAGCAGCTGCTCTGTGTCCCCTGCTCCTTTAAAAATCATTATACTGTGTCGTACTGTGTCGTACTGAAGTACAACCACATTATCTGCTACTCCCTCCCAGTAACTGTGAAAGTGCTGCCTCTCCAAAGATATGACCAAACTTCATCTGCTTACTCACTTGAACGGTGCTTCAGCTACAGCTTTTGTGAACATAGTGGCAAACTCTCCAAGCTCCTCCCAGCTCTCAAAAAAGCTGACTTGAACTTGTTTGCACAGCTGCAGATCCACCAAGGCCTGTAAACATCATCGGAAGCAACAAATGGAACAATTAGTTTTCTCACATCAAACTCCACTCTTGTCAAACAAAAAAGGCTCATAACAGCTCGTTATAGGACAAGAACATCGACTCTCTCCCCATTTTGGGAACAGTTCATTTAAGGCACTGAAGTATTTAGGGGCAGCCTGTCTCCCACCAGTTAATACCAGTGTAGTGCCACTTCTAGCTGCCGCAGATCCTCAGTGGCAGGCTCTTGTGACATGCAGGCCACCCAGCCCACGGCAGCACCAATGTGCTTTGCCAGCAGGCCAGGAAGGGTGAGAGATGCTAACGGCCACTGACATAGTAATTGAAGGTGAACAAGACACGTCAGCCCGTGGGAGAGCAGGTACGTAACTGAGCAGTGGGGAACTGAACCCAAAGAGCTCTGTCCACATACACATGGACTAATGCAGGCTGAATCCCCCTGTCTGAGAAAGTGTGTGATTGGGTCAAATGTTCAAACAATGGCAGACAGCAGGAGATGATGGCTGCATGCCTGTTTTACTCACTTCTTCCACGTCCATTCTGGTTATCTCCAGGCCAGAATCCTTAACTTGTTTTTTTCTCCATTTTCCTTGTTCTTCTGCTTGGTTTGCACTCACTGCTGCCTGTTGCAGTCTCTTTTTTTCCTGAACTCTGAGAGACACAAGAAGAATAAAGTAAGACTGGGAGTTCATGCTCTTCCCCAGGTATTTCCCATTGGTCACTGTGGTGACAGGCTAGATGGATCTTTGCTTCTGTTTCTATATAACAAATAGTGGAGCAGTTCTGGGTGGGAATACCTCTTATGCTCCAGTCTTTGCTAGAAGGATGTAAACACCTATGGCATTTTTTAAGGCCAGAGACAACATAGAACCATGTGGAAGAAAAAAAAAAATGTTTAACCTGAAATAATTTTCTACTTGAACTACTGTCAGTGCCAGAATTTTCCCAGGCATTTTCTCCATCACATGAGCTACGTAGCTCTGTAGGGTCTCCTTCTGTCCTGCTGTACAGCCCTGGGCCTCCTGCAAAGATCAATGGAAAAAAGGAGTTAAACCGTCCCAAGTTACACATGCAAGCCCAGCAACCTATGGCTCCAACTCTGCAGCTGGGTCTGCAGGTAAAAAAAGTCTGTTCACACAGCTCTTCAGGGGCAAGCAAGCAATACTTGATTCAGTCTAAAGTTATGGCGGAAAGAAATAAAAATTTTTTTTTTTTAAAAGAAGGCCCACTTGAACTGACAATGCTACCTCTTAACAAAATCTGTGAAAAATTGTAACTAGGAAAGAAAGCTTGTCAGAACTTTGCATTATACAACCCTAGTGTTTTTGATCCATTAATGGCTTCTAAAACCAGATTTCTGGTGGCTCCATCCCACACCGAAACCCTCCTGCCATGAAGAGGGATGACAAACACCACCCTTACAGCAAGGCATATTCGAGAGCACAGAAGTCGTAAGTGCTCTCACTTGTTTGTAGTTGTGAACCATGGACAAAAACTCCTCCAAGCGAAGCAGAACCAGGACGTTTGGTTCTTCTGTCCATTCATCTCCTTCTTCCATCTGTCCAGATATGAAAACAAACAGCCAGAACAACAATCTGTTTATAATTCACTCACTCAAACTGATGCTCCCACTCAGATCTCTGAGGCAGGGAGAAGATTAGAGGGTGTTTACTTGGGCTGCTAAATGCAATTACTAATGAGTTCAAATAAAAGAGGAAGAAAAGGGCAAGAACATCAAGATTTTGTTCCCACACCTGAGATGATACCGTCTTTCTCCTCCAGGTGATGCCACAGGGAACGGTCTGACTCTCAACCACACAGGAATAATTTGCAGCCTGCAAAGCACTAAGGATCTGACCACCACCTTCTACCTGTAAGAGGACTGAAATCAGTGCATGGGTCAGGCTTCCACAGCAAGAACTGACAATCAATATAAGGCACGTGCAGGCTGTGAAGACAAGTACCTTGATCTAGCACCACTGTTATGTATTTCTGGCACTCCCCTGGTCGCTGAGCTTTCAGCATCTTGGCAAGGGCCTTCTTCCTCTCTTTTTCCTGCTCCTGCTGCCTCCTCCGTGCTTCTCGCTCCTTCCTCCTCTGCCACGCAGCCTGGCAGATTGCCTCCCTTTCCTTCTGACCATATTTTGGCTTCTTAGGAGGCAGGGATGTTTCTGGGCTTGTTCCGGTTACCAAGGGCCTCATAGGCTGATCTGCGGAGCTGGACTGATAGGCTGGCAGCGGGCACAAAGAGGGCCTCTCAACACCGTGCGTGCGATTTTGGCTGCCACAAGACACTTCTCTAGACGACACCAGGGCTTCCTGCGGCCCTGCACTGCCAGGTCCCAACAGGTCACCGCTAGCACAATCGCCATCTCCCTCTGCTGCATCCCCACAGCCCGGCTGGGGGCGCTGAAAAGCCACCTCCCTCTTTGCTTCCACCCTCCTCTTGATCCTCTCGGGCAGAGGGACGATCTCCACCACCTCCTCTTCCTCCTCCTCCTCGCTCCCACTGCTCCCCCCCAAAACCGCTCCCGCCGCCCTCCCCGGTTTGAGAGCGGGGGACGAGGGCCGTCGGTGGTCCAACCCGCCGGGCGATAGCGATGGCTGTAGCAGGGAGGCTAAGGTAGGCAGCTCCTCCTCATCGCTCTCCGCCATCTCGTTTTCCCCTGAGGTAAAGTCCCGGGCGCCTGAGGGACG